GAGCTTAGAAGAAACCATCTGCAGCGGTTAAAATGGGGCAGTTTATGAATAGCTGAGAGGAGGAAAGTACCTGACAACCTTAAAGTTGCTCTCCTGACTAATATGATTGTCAATGATATTAATATTAAAAAAAAAATCAAATGCCTCATTGAATTATCACATTGCACTGTATTATCATATTGAATGAAGGCAAGCAAACCCTTTTTAAGAAAAACCAGAGCCTTAAAGGCTCTATCAAGACAGGAGTTGCTGTAGAGGAAGAAGAGCATGGTGCTGTGAACTTCAGAGATGTAGCCTCCAGGACAACACCAGGAGTTCACACAGATATGTTAGAAATTGTGCTCAAACCAGCTCAGCACAAGTCACAAGTAAACCATAAATAGACAGTAATTCAGAGGGAGGAGAGGGAGCAAATAGCCAAAGATATTAAGATAAACAATACATGATCATTCAGAGACTAAACATAAAGCTGCATGTGTGTCTCTGTAGGCCCTCCAGGTCATTAAGGAATTAAGGATGCCAACCTTATGAAGTTTAACCTTGCCAAGTGCAAGGTCCTACACCTGGGTTGGAGCAATCCCAGGCACAGCTACAGGTTGGGCAGAGAAGAGATTCAGAGCAGCCCTGCGGAGAAGGACTTGGGGGTGCTGCTCAATGAGAAAATGAACATGAGGCAGCTTCAGTGTGCGCTCGCAGCCCAGAAAGCCAACCGTATCCTGGGCTGCATCAAAAGGAGTGTGACCAGCAGGTCGAAGGAGGTGATCCTGCTCCTCTACTCTGCTCTCGTGACACCTCACTTGGAGTATTGTGTGCAGTTCTGGTGTCCTCAACATAAGAAGGACATGGATCTGTTGGAACAAGTCCAGAGGAGGGCCACAAGGATGATCAGGGGACTGGAGCACCTCCTGTATGAAGATAGGCTGAGAAAGTTGGGGCTGTTCAGCCTGGAGAAGAGAAGGCTGCATGCAGCCCTCATAGCAGCCTTCCAGTATCTGAAGGGGAGCTATAGCGATGCTGGGGAGGGGCTCTACATTAGGGACTGTAGTGACAGGACAAGGGGTAATGGGTTAAAACTTAAACAGGGGAAGTTTAGATTGGATATAAGAAGGAAATTCTTTCCTGTTAGGGTGGTGAGGCACTGGAATGGGTTGCCCAGGGAGTTTGTGAATGCTCCGTCCTTGGCGGTGTTCAAGGCCAGGTTGGATGAAGCCTTGGGTGGCAAGGTTTAGTGTTAGGTGTCCCTGCCCATGGCAGGGGGTTGGAACTAGATGATCTTAAGGTCTTTTCTGATCCTAACTATTCTATGATTCTATGATTGTCAAGAAGCTGAGGTTATTATTTGTGTTTGTCTTCAGTAGAGTGGAACATTTTGAAATTGACTGAAATTATGAGTGTGATACTATAAACATTTCTGAAGAAGAGGTACGGGAGCAAGTTGAGAAAACCCAATATGATGAAGTTAAAATAATCCAGGGTGTTCAGAAGCTGAACTTCAGAACATAGTGACTGGAAAGAGCTTGCAATGCAACTGAAAAACAAGGGTGTTTCCCAAGACTAAAGAATTTCCCTGTTCCAAAATATGAGTCAGAAATGAACACAGGTAATGCTGACCTCAGTGCTGAGGATGCCACCATGGATGAGCTTCATTTGCGCATGCACGATCAGACCAGCTGCAGCTCTCTCCCCTCAAACCTCCCCAAAAGTCCCAGTGAATTAAGGGAGTAGGAGGTGTCAGCAGGCTTTCAAAAAGCTTTTGAAAAAGCTCCTCATAGCAGAGCAATGGGTCACACAACAAACTGTGAATTAGTATGCTATGTTATAAATGGATTAAGCAATAGGAAACAAATAATCTCGGTACAGCCCTGAGTTACAACGGTAAATGCTAAACCCCTGGTGATTTGAAGGTTAACCCTCATGTCTTCCTATTTCCACTAAATCTATTTGCTCATTGTGAGGTTTTATGAAGAGGCTGCCTGAAGAACAGGGGGAACATTTACCTTCAGGAAAGCTGGGATTCTCCTTAACTCTGCCACCCCCAGGACGACACTGCTAGGCTGAATAGCCGTCACAAGGTTCGTGCTAATACATTATCTATCCCAATTTCTTTCTCTAAGGGACTTTATTTCACACCTTGCTGGCTGCAATTTTTCTTCTGCTGTGTCATCCTGGCACCTCATAGCCTGGTCTGGAAAGCGGAGCAAGTGAAACACAGAATGCCCCAGGTCTGATTCTGTTCCTTGTTTGATTTTTCACCATGATTTAGAGAGGAGTGACAATGTGTCGCTGAAGTTTATGCATGCTGCTAAGACTGAAAGGCAGCATAAATTATGGAAAACGGCAAGCGGTATCAGTAGATCACACTTATACACCCTAGGCATGTAAAACGTACTCTGAAGACTACAACATAACATGTGTGTAGGTGAAATAACAGTTTCATGATGTGAAATGGCATTCTCTTTGCTTGGTGGTTTCAGGAAAATTCAGTATACCTTGCAGAAGGCATCCCTCCCACCTCTCATAGGATGCAGGCAATGACACTTAAGCAAAGAAAATAGCATGAGCCATGCTAGTTAAACAGACTGACACACCTCAGACAGTTTCAGACCTCTGTATTTAGCAGGCAGTATCTTCTGTTTAGAGATCATTGCTAAACAAAGGCTCTGATTTGGATTTTGTTTGATGTTTGCCATAGCTGCAGTGACAAATGAAGAGACCCTGGGAAAGCTGATGGAAACAGAGGCATGGGTGACATTAGGTATGGAGAAAGCATGAAGAGAAAGGGGCTTTATCCAGCAAAACATGCATATGCCCATGCCCACTACAAGCTGATTGCTTACAGCCCTTGCTGTGTTCCCAACTTGCCCGGTGCCTCTGCCTTGCATGAAAGGAGCTCATAGGGCTTGAGAGCTTTCCAGCTCTCAGCCTGTGAATAGTCACCGCACTCATTACTTTTTCTTCCCAGAACGTGTCTGCTGCCCAACCCTTTTGTAGCCCTCCAGCTCTTCCCTTCTCCACCCCACTGACCTGCAGCTTTTCACTGGTCTTACAGCACTGACCCCCACTAAAATGTAGTGGTGAGCTTCCACATTGTACAGCATCAAGCAGGCAGAGAACCTTCTTGTGGGGTGCCAGGCTGGGGCAGAGGTGCCTCATTGCCGGACTCTTAAGGCTGCCCGTCTACAGAAGTGTGGGGTGCTCTGCCCTGTCCCCAGCCTCTCATTCCCATCCTCCCTTTGCGCCAGTTGTGATCTCCTCTGATCTTCTGGTCAGCTGGTTTAGGAAGTTAAGCTGGCAGAAAACTACTCCTCCAAAGAAACGCACAGCCACTTTAGCTCCCCAACAGGCTTACTGCGATGTCAGACAAACACCAGGGCCTGCTGAAGGGGCAAGGGGTGGGGTAGAGATGGGAAAACACAGCCAGAGGGAAAAGTGGGATGACAGCAGTGCCCACGAGGGCTGTTTGGAGCTGTCTCGGAAGCACACCCTTAGGCACCAATCTGCTTGCCACCATCAAAACCGAGGCTTGTCTGTGCCTGTGCAGCAATGACAGCCTCAGGTCATGAAGGCAAAGCTTTGAGATGAAAAATCTACATAGTTTGGGCACCTCTTTGTTTAGGAGGCACCTCTCTCAGGGTCACACCTTTAGGCTTAAGCAGTTAGGCCCCATGGGCAGTAGTTAAGCCTTTTTTTGGATCTCCCTTACCTTCTGGTATTGCTGTTAAGATCCATGTGTTGGATTTTAATAACCGTTCTGTGATGTACACAGAAGAAACCTACTCTCAATGGGGAGAGTGCAGAGAGGATTATCATTCTGCTGTAACAGAGCCAGGATCACTCCACAGTGATGCTCTGTGTTATTCAAGGTCATCAAAGGATGCTTTGAAAACGTTGCTTGCATTCTTGCCGCGGAGAGCAAGCTGGAGTAAGCTGGGAAGGAAAGGGAGTCTCACAGGCATTGCATGTTTTCACAGAGTAACCCAAGAGGAGCTCCTGCTACTTCATGAGCAAATGCTGGAAGAGCAGAAAGAAGCTGGCACCAATGCTGCTTTCCATTAGCCTCTCCTCTGCCTCGTTCCTCTGCTTGTCACTGCCCTCTCCTTTGCAGCTGTGGGAGGCAGCATGGCCAGGCAGAATTCTCTGCCTGTAGGCAGACCTCTAACTGACTGGGGTGAGTTGCACTGAGGAACCTGCCCAAACCTCTTAGCAGGACAGAAAGCAGGAGCCACTGCCCTGTGCCAGCAAAATAAACCTACCCAAAGTAAAGTAATAGTTTTGCAGGTGGGGGCTGGGAAAGAATTAACTGCTTCAGTTAGGGAGGACTCAAGGGGAAGGGAGTGGTCGCTTGAGTATTTTTCATCTAGACAATTAGGTCTGCTCCTCGGGGCAGTGGGTGTTAAGCCAAAACTGGAAAGCTTTCCCTAAACTAGTAAAGCACAAAGCTTTCACACAGTGTGTGCTCAGCCCCAAGAACTTCCTGGTAACCCAGGTTATTTGAGGCAGATTGTTGATTAGGATCCAAGAGAGGATTAGAAACTCTTTTGAGCATAAATAGTATTTGCAACTGTGTGAGTTAAGCAAACGGATACAGGGGAAATCAAACCCCACGCTTCAGGGCATAAACTGCTCTCTTGTGAGTCAGGATCAACTTTTTTTTCCTCTACGCATAGCATCTCATAATTAGCTAGGTGCTTGCTGTGGTTTTGATTTGCTCTGAAGCATCAGTTAGTGGCCGCTGCCAGAGGCGGGGTGCTGGACTAGATAGACCTGTGATGTGTTTCTGTAGGGTAACCCTTTTGTTCCCATATTGGCAAAGCTTTGTGGGAAAGCTTCAGTGATGTGTCTTCAGCAGCTCCTGGTCTTATCAAACATTGGCCTCTCATTTCCATAAGCACTAAAGTCAGTCTGAATTGTCACAGAAGTAAAAAGGCAAAGTTTCAGAAGGGTTTATTTAGCTACCTGGTACAGACAGCATTTATTTACTAAATGCTAAGATATTTTTAGGACCTGCATGGGTCATTTTTGCCAGGAAGAAATTATTTTCTTCATTCAGTTTCAGCTGCAAAGAAGTCACACAACTCGCAGAAGGTTTTGTATTTTGAAAAATACATATTTCTGTGTACGTGTGCATATACACATACACGTGTATACATATATATATATATAAATAAAAATATAAGTTGTTCCAATATAAAGGTTTGAATTACTAGCATTTTCTTACAAATTAAAGGCAGGCAAGGACCAGTAATGCAGGTGACAGAGCATGCACTAACAAAGTCTGCCTTTCCACGCTGCCTCTTTGATGTACCTCATCTTTGCCCTGAAGGAATTTCATTATCCTATGGTGAGCTGGTAATGAAATCTGTACTCAGAATCAAGTCTTCATAGAAAACGATATCTTGGCTCTTTGTTCTGTACAGACTAGCTGTGTGTGGTAGGAATATGTTTCTATTTGTGTGTGATCTGAGTGTACTTTGAATACTGATCTCCAGATAAAAAGGATAGAGATCTAATTTGACAAAATATTAAATGCCTCTATCTTGCTTTATCTAACAAAATTCTGATGCTTATTATCGTGATGAACATTTGGGGCGATACTTGTACTGTTCAGCATGTGTGAGAACAATCTCTCTGTGGAGAATCGAATGGAGTGTCAAAGACCCTGATTTACAAAGAGTGCAGAGGGCTCTTAAGTACTATTTTTAGAACAATGCCGCAACAGATTTACACACAGAGAAAAACCCCTCCTCTACAGTCACTTAGGAGCAAAGTAGCATTTCACTGCATAATAATGAGGAATTAATTGCTCTTTGTCATCACTTTTTATGCAAATTGCCATGGAACATTTGCCCAATGTGCATTTTACCTTTTAACAAAGAAAGTAGTCATGACAAACTAGACCAAATTTCATAAGCTAAAGACAAAAGTAGGCTGTACCACACATAAATTGCAGCTAGCGAGTCTATTCCTTTGAGGAACTCTATCAACTTCCCATGAAAGTCCATTAAAAAAAAAAAAGAGAGAAGAAAAGAAAGGGAAAGGTTTCTTGGCCTACGCATCTAGTTAAATTAAATAAATTGAATTAACTTCAATTATTAGATGACTGACATGTCTTCTAATGGAATTTGCTTGTCAGTCTTTACAGCATTTGCTTACTTTTTCCTTTTCCTTGGGATAATCACCAAATATTACCAATTTTGTTTCTTTACCAGCTGCTTTCAAGCTGTTACTCATATTGTTACTGCATTTCAGACATCGCAGGATGCCAGTTGTTTAAAAATGTTTTGTTGGGTTCATATTTAAAAATAATTAGAAAAATATTATCAACCTGATGTCTCACCTATGTGTTCACAACATTTACATCTAGACTAAACTGACAATTCTTCTGAGAAAAAGAGAATTGCAACGGCTACAGAATAGCATTTCCTTTCACTGTAAAAAAGGGAAATACATAATAAATCACCTTTGTTCTACGTGAAGCTTTAAATTTTTAGCCATTCTGCAACTGCCACTGCAAATTTGATGCAAAAATTACCTAGATGGCAAACCAGGTCAAAATGTAGACATCCTAATGGATTGTATTGTGTCAAAGCATTTTCTCCAGAAACATCTCAATATGTTTTCTTTTTCCTGAGAAACACAGGGAGGATAACTCTGCGCAAGGAGTTTCTGTCTCGCATGTGCAATGAATCAATTCAGTGAACTAGTGGGTCTTTTCAATCTCTAGTTTCTACCAACTTCAAACATAACAAGCGAGTTCCAACAGAGTCCCTTTTCTATTCATATGCTATTCACAGCAGACCTTTGTAGTTCACAACTTCAAGTTAACATAGCAAAGAGCAGTTTTAAATCACTCCAGTAATCAGGGGTCACAATTACTTGCTGTAGCTACAAAAAAAAAATAATAATCACACACACGCTGCAAGTTAATGCACTCTGCTTTCACCTTTAAGAAAGAAAAATAACAGAGACTTGACCTCTGCCTTAAGTGCTAACACTTCAGCAACACTATCTATTAATCAAAAAACGTATGAATGCAGCTTATAAATCCCTCTGTATGGAAAGCGCCATCTTCACCCCTACAGAAATATATTTCCTGTCCCAGTACTTGCTTGAAGTGCAAGAACATCCTGCAGTCTCCTTGGAAAAAAGTAAAAGCAATGGATGTGAGAACTAAATAAATCAAGCAGTTGTTCATTATGAGTGGAAACCCAGAAATTTGTTGCGGTCCCAAGTTTTTTTGTTAGCATTAGAGCTAAAATCAAAACAAACTGCCTTAGCAAAAGCAAAAGCCTTCAGCATAGTAAATGAAGCACTCCAACCTGCCCTCAATATTTCACAGTGTCAGGGATTTAGCCTGGAATAAGAAGTCCAAAATATTCCAACATGTGCTCCAACGCCATCAGAGACAGGGGAAGCCACTGTGTTGGTACAGTTACTGTGTGCTTCCCGAGTGAAAGTACACCTGCACTTTCCATGTTCCCCACCTGCTCTCCTGACTGTCCTCTGGCTTCTGTTCAGCCAGGCAACATTCTCAACCTCCATGAGCCTTCTTATGCTCCAGTCAAGTTTCAGTTACACGAAGTAAGGGAGATGTTGTCAGAGGCACAGAGGAAGCCGGGCATCCAGTCAGATATCCAACTACCACTGCCAGTTGTGAAGAAACTCCTTGTGACTTCCTTCCATCAACAGCAAGATGTCCTCTGCTGCGGCTGCACAGTCCAACCTGGAGGGTAAGAAATGTATTTGCACAAAGCCCCAGTTACAGTTATCCATTGAAAGGAGAATCATGGGCGCTAGAAAGTCTGAGCTGTTACCAACTCAGTATCTTTGTGAGTAATAATTACCTCAAGGCTTTTACTCTTAATTAGTGGTTTTGGGTCTAGTCAGCCACTGGTGCATGTGCATAAGCTTTCATTGATGTTAAAGACTATGTGGAGCAAAGAGTCCTTAGGAATAGTAAGTTCTCCCCATGGAGTAGTGTTGTGGGCTTTTTTTTCTTACCCATCTTCTGTTCCTTCCCAAAATCATTACTTTGAATTAAACCTCACCAGATCACTGGTGTCCTGTGACATGTCACAGGGGAGATCTGGACTGCTAGGAAATATCTCTGCCGTCTTGAATGTCTCCTGCCTGATATTTACCCTCCAGAGCACAAACACTGCTCTGACACATCTGGGTTAACCACCTTGTGCCCTCCTTATTCTTCAGTCTCTCCCTCAGCAGTGCTCAAGAGAAAGGAGGGGTTTTTTTACCCTTCTTGTGCATCCCTTGGTTTGCAAAAGGACCATGTTGCCAACACAGATGCTTTGTCCACACTTCCACATTTTGCTGCAGATATTTTCACTTTTACGGATAGCTGTAAAGACAGAGGGTTGTTGGGAAAAAAAAACAAACAACACAACCCCCAAAAAACCCATTACAAGGCTTTTGAGCAAGCTGAGCTAAAAAAAGGTTGAGCTTTGTCCACAATTGCCCTCAAACAACTTTTGGAGCTGATTTGCCTGATTCTTAGTGATAGGGGAATATGAAGTGAGGTTTAAATACATCATTGTGAATGTCCTTGCTTTCGCAAACAGGCTCTGGGATCATCCTGACCTGCAGAATCAGGGAATTTGCAAGATTTGACCTTTAAAACACTAAAAGCATAATACAGTTTTTCATTGTATTTTAAAATACAATTCCAAATACAAATTCAAAAATGTTATTCAGAAATTGTAAATAATAAATATACTAAGTAAAAAAAAAAAAAAAAAAGCAGTAATAGAGATGATGAAGATCTCAGAAGGTGGCACTGATTTAGAGACAAAATGGGCAAGGACAAAGCCTTGTCCTTGCTGGCCATCTCCAGGACTCACTGTGGGCTATATTTGGACTGCCTCTCAAGACACTGAACTTCAAGAGACCAGAAGGATGATAGGATTGTGTTCGCTTTAGGGCTGAAAAATTCTGACCTCCTTTAGAACCAATAAAAAGAATAATCTTGAGGTCATTCATCCTATCTGCCTAGCACAGGTGTTGCAATTACTTTTCCCATATTACTATGTCAAACTGAAGTCTGGCAATCTCAGCAAGCAGGTGATCTGAACAGTTTACTTGTCTTTTTTTTGAAGAAGATGAACACTGGGAAAGACCCTACCTTTTGACTTAGTGACCACAAAGCATGTTTTGGACATAAGACATAAACCTTAATGATTCCTGACCCTTGACTTCTTGACATACAAAGTCAACAGCTCTTCAGATTCCCTTTCTATTATATTATCTGCATCTATTTTTTTAAAGGTCAGTGACTGCCATTTTTTCCTGCCTTGCCTCCTGACACTATCATTTTAGTCCTTGGAACAACACTTTAATATTTCCATATATATCATATATTACATCTCAGCAGCTCCTCAAAATACCATGCCGGAGATCTGATGCTCTGTGCATGGCAAATGTTCCTTTGTGGAGCTTTTGATGTGATGTCAAGCCATGCTGCTGAGATATTACATTGTGGACCTTTGATACCACACACCATGACAGTGTCTTCTTCACAGCCTTCACAGCCACTGACTCAGGGTGTGCTGTTCATACTGTCAGTGCTCCTGGAAACGCAATGTACCTGGGGTGTGTTAGAGTCTGGTTGCGAAAAGACATACGGTGCCTGTGGTATAATCAGTAATCAACTGTGAATTTCTTAATCACTGCAAAGAAAATGATGCAATTTCATTAATTCTACCTGCACAACCCAGGAGAATATGTGCATAATTATTGATAATGACATAGGCCTGTGCTCAGGACTGGGGCTGCTTATCCAGGGAAGCTGATCTTTTTCACCAAATTTTGCAGGGTAAAATGTACTTCAGAAGGAAATGACAACTGCCTCAATTAAAACCTGCAAGATTTGTTCTTATTTTTCCTTTTTCACTTCTCCATTACCATTGTAAAAATCAAGTTGCATAAGATCTGCTAACATGTCACTCATTCATAGGGTCTTCCGAGTCAGAGCGGTTGAAGCTGAGACGGCAACAAAAGTTGTTCTGTATAGTACTTTCATCTCTTCCCTTAGCACTTTAAATTGGGAATTACCTATCCCCAGGAAAAAGCAATTCGTTTTTATAAATACATGACTGAAATACCTTGCAATACACAGAGCTCTCCAACAAGTGGCACTATTAAGACTATTCAAGTAACGAGATTGATATGCAAATGAGGTCTCAGAAAGGGATGTTGGGACATGTTTTACAATATTGGATTCCATTTAAAATCTTTTCAATTTACATATGAAGTATGATTGAAATAGATATTCATAATGCAGATACTCTGGAAAGTTTTGTGTTATCCATAAAGAAAACACTGAAAAGTAGGTCAAGTGCTATAAGCTCAACCAGGCAGTCCTCTCAAAAGCGATGAAGTCACGGTGGTGCAGAGAAACGGCGCAATTAAGACATTAGTAAAGGTAATGTGTAGCTAGGAAATCTGCCCACAGTCGAGCTTAAGCCAGCTGTTGCATGTGCGGGTCTCGGCTTTCCTCAAGGAAAGCGTTGTAGCATTCGCAACAAGTTATCCCTGAAGTATTCATGGGATAACTTCTAAATCGTACCTATTCACATTTTTTCTACCTCATTTTGTTGCCGTTGCTTGACAAAATTTGGCTGTACTTTTAAGAAAAACTGTCCAGAAATAGTTACTTTTACACAAGATTTGAGGTGTGGAGACAGTTGACTGCAATAGAGACAGGATCAGCCTGGATTTGTTGCTGGAATACAAGCAGTTTGGGAACGAACTGGGAAGCAAATGAGTTAAAATGTAAGACACATGATATAAAAATAGCATTTTTAAAGAGTAGGCTTCAGTCTGTTAGTGTAATATTCCTCCTGCCTTTGAAAATCAACTCTTGTTTTTTCCCCACTTTTCCAGTGTTATATAGAGAGAGACCATAATAAAATCACAATCTGAATTATATAGAAGAATCAGGGTCCTGTCTTCTATTATGAGCTGGTCAGAAAATTATTGATAGCATTTGGGTACCAGAAGCTTCATAGAGGTGTCGGGTGAGTTTTCACAAAGCCTGTGTGCCCAGTCCCTGCTTGGATTTAGCTTCTTTCCATCTGTGCCAATCTCAGTCCAGTACAAGCAGGATCTGGTTCACACTAAAGTCACTGTGAATTTTATCACAGGGTAAACAGAATAATAATGATATCTGAAATAGATGTTTTCACTTTATGCTTCCTTTAAGCCAAATAGTAACATTCATTTTAAAATGTTGGCCAGTGAGATAAATGGCAATTATTGTGCCTTTCAGAAACATGTGCTATGGGCAGAGGCGTATCCAGAGTGCTTTGTTGAGTTTTCTATTTGGCTGGCTTTGACTACCTGGAGCGGTATCTCCCACACTGTGTTGTAAATAACAGAATATGTGCACTTTGAATGCCGTGGCATAATGGGCACGTAGTGTGCTAACTAAAGCATTATAAATGCTGCAAGGCTTATTTTTATCTCTCCGTCCTTCTCAATATAGTATTTTTATCTCTCACGCCAATACAAAATTATTTTTGTGTCTCTAGGAAAAACAAGTCAATGAGACTCAGTCTGTTAGCATTTAAACACATGACAAGTCACCTTACACACTGTGGGACTTTTCACATGCTTAGCACCATATATGTCTGCAGAGCCAGAACCTAAATGGTACTGGTGAGCAAGGCTTTATATGAACATTGCTTGGAGAGGGAAAGTGAAGTTTATGTGTCAGATTCTCCAGTGGGGTGCTGTTCTGCAGCCATGTGTAGCTAGGAAAAGTAAAAGGGGTAAATGCTACTGAACTAAAGAGCTTTTTGCTTTGCACAATAAGACACTCGTGCAAAATGCAAGCCAGGGCTTCCAAAAAGTGACATTTGTTGCTACATACAGACAGTTGATTTTGTGTTGGCACGTAGGATTTGCATGGTTTTCCATAGTCTAGTAGGCTTTGAAAACACAGCCCGGTGGAGCTGCTGCAATTTCAGCACAGAAATTGTTCCTCTCTAAGAGATATGGAAAATAGTATATATCACCTGTCTACAGTGAAAGGGGAAAACAAGAGTACGAAAACATAAAGACTGACATAAACACAGAAAAAACAACAATCATGCACATGTTAATGACTGCGCACTTGTCAGCAGTAGGTCACCATCATTCTTTATCGACATTTACTGCAACCACAATTCTTTTTTCAAGACCACTGACCCAGGAAAATGTAACCCCCTTAGTTATCCAACACCCTTTAATTAGATGTCTCCAGAGCCAATCTCACTCAAAACCCCTATCGTGAATCGTTTATTTTCTAAATTTCCTTTTTCTCAGCCACCCCACATCTTCGTGTTTTTCTGTCCTAGCCCAACTTGAGCAACTCAGGCTTGCAGAATGCAGTTTATTAATGTACTAGTTCCCCCCACTGCATTTCATGTCTCATGGCATTTGCGTCTTGCTCGGAAGCCCTGAGAGCATCACGATGGTTTTCTGGAACCACAGCTTTCTACTTGGCAAAAGGCACCACGGCGCCAGGCCCCTGGGTGGGAAAGGGCTGGTAAACAAGCACCTTACACTTCGTGGGATGAGGCACGGCATGGCCCACCCTCTGGCGCTGGGAATGCTTGAGGGGATTTTGTTTTTGTTTTCAGGCTCCGGAGCACTTATCTATTCCTGTGACGTTCGGCAGGGCTGACTCATGACTGCTGGACGCTTGCGGTCAGCATTATAAGTAGGATGAGGTTTCTCTTTGGGGCGGAGCTCGTAAAATAATCACGGCGACCATCGACACCCAGCCTGCGCCGGCAGCGAGGTGTGACAGGGTGGGCATTTTTCACCATGCCCTTCACCTTCTTGTTCACGGCCAAGCCTGGCCGGGGTGGCGGGTCCCGGCCTTCCCCCGGGGAGGTGCCCGCCGCCACACTACAGCCCGCCACCCCCATGAACGTGGCCACCGCGGTGAGCCGAGCCGGGTCGCGCCACTGGGCCACCTCGGGTCTCCCCCGCCGCCTCAGCGGCCCTTCGCTGCGGAACTACGGCTCCCAGAGCCCCCCGCGGCCGCCGGCGCGAACCCCAACGCGGGGTCCGGCGCCACGAGCATACACACAGCTCACACTGCCCCCCCCACCCTGCCAGCAGGCGGTAGAAAGCCCGCTCCGCGCATGCGCCTCCTGTCCGTTCCACACACATCCCCCCCCCCCTCCAGCCTCGGCCAGATGGGCGGGGCGGGTGGAACGCGAGCGGTGCCGCTATTGGCGGAGCGGCCGTACGCCGCTTTCTGTGCGTAGCGTCCGGGTCCGCTGAGGGAGCTGGCGCTGCGCTGTTGGCGTAGCGCTGTTGTGAATGGAGCGGGCGGCGGGGCGGGGAGGATGATGTCAGCCTGCGAATGTCAACAATGTAGCGATTGAGGGGCGGCGGCGGGCGGCAGAGCCGGGCAGCAGCGGCCGCGGCAGCAGCAGCAGCGCCGCCTCCCCACCCCTCCTCCTCCGCCGGGCTGCCGCCGCCGCCGGCCCCGGTGCCGCTCCGGCAGCGACACAACCACCGCGGTGCCGCTCCCCCCCCCTCCCCCGACTCCCTCCCTCCCTCCCACCCTCCCTCCCTCTGCCGCGGCTTTCTCTCCTCCTCCGGCCCCCCTGCCAGCCCTCTCCCTCCTTCCCTTCCCCCTTTATTTTTCTCCGCAAGACTTTGGCTCTGGAAGCAGCTGGTTCAAAGCAATCGCCATGTGATGAGCGTCTGGGTCGGGATTTTTTTCTCTTTAATTTGGGGGGGGGGAGGGTGCAGGTTTCTGACCGCAGAGAAATACTAATAAGAATTTCCGAAACAACAGCAGCAGCAACAACAAGAGCAACCCCCCCCCTCCCCAAACCTCCTCAGCCGTAACAGCCTTTTGCCCCACAATCCGGGCCCGCTCCACCCCCGCCTCACGATCCCCCCCCTTTTCCCCTTCCCAAGGCTGCAGCAAGAGGGGCGACCCCCGAAAGTTGCGCGGAGGCGAGGTGAGTGCGCCTGTTCCGCGGCTCGGCAGCCCCGCCGGGGAAGGGAAGGGGGAGGGAGGGGGGGGGGGCGAAGTTTTGGGGGAGGCTGTCCGGGAGTGTGGGGGGGGGGGCAGCGTGGCTTTCCCCCTTCCTCCCCGAGCAGCTGTTAGGCGGGGGGCTGCACCCAGCCCCGGGGCAGCCGCGGGCTCTGCCGGAGGAGCGCTCGCTGCTTATTCCTTCAAGTGGGAAACGCACGCGTTGCGTAACGGCGAGTGCACGGCAGGCGCCCCAGCGCGCGTGTGTCCGCGTATGCTCCGCGCCGCCGGGCGGGCCGAGAGCTTCGGGGCAGCCCCTTCGCTAAAGGGCCGTCCCGCCACCGCTGCCGCCTTCCTCCGGCCCCGCCGCCACCTGCAGCGGCTCGGGGCAGGGGGGCACCGCGCTGCGTCGCATCCCCGGGCGCGCACCGTGTTGTATGTGTGTGTGTGCCCCCCACCCGCTGTGTCCCCCCAGCCCGGGTTTTATGGGTTCGGAGGGAGATGCGAACTCCGATAACAGTTTCTTGGAGCATTAAAACGTAGCGTGTAGGCAAGGCAGCGCGCCGCGAAGGCGCTGGCTGTCATGAAAGACGCTAAGTGTGAAATCGTGCCTCTCCTTTTGTGGAGCGGGCTATTTTTGTAATGCGGCGGGGTGTCTTGCTTAAAACGCTTCGGTTACCGTGAGATCGTTGTGCTCTGCTCGCTGGAGCCCCGGTAGCTCCGGTGTAAACCACAGGTTTCATTCTTTATTAACAAACGCAAGACAGATGTCCTCTTATTAGAAATATTCTTTAGGTTGTTGGAGAAAGATTGGCAAATTGCTGTGTTGCTGTTTGCTCTAGTTGAAGCCGTGTCTGTGTTTTCGCGACGAAAGCCCATTTTTAAAGACTTTGGAACTGTCGCTAAACTTGTGCATATTTTAATTTGGTATTCTGGGGCTCGAGCTAGAGACAAGTCGATGTTTTTCAGCCAGGGAATTGTCTGAGACTGTGCTGTAGATGGTGGAATGCTCTGCAGTTTGAAGAGGGTGGTAGCGCTTAGGTAAATTGACTTCTTCGGGTATGTAAATACTGAAATTTGAGATAATTGTATTTGATGAGATGAATGGAATAAAGCGATAAGGTTGTGTGTTAAGCTGTTGTCTATGGGGCTGTTGTAGCAACAGCCTCGCACCAGCCTTACACCAGCGTTCTAGGTGCCTTTACATCTGACAGATAGAAACAAGATTCCACTTCAGATGTGGGCGCGTTCTTTTAAAAGCCTGTGTTGCCTTTTGTATCTATCTGCCCGCCCGCCCCTCCATCACCGCGATCTGGGCTCTTGTGCAGCAAAATGGATCGGCGTCGTACTTCCCTGCAGTGTGTCGAACCTGTGCTTTCAGCATCCTTTCTCACATTTGACCCTCCAGCTTCAAAGGCTGTTCTGAAGGTCTCAGCAAGGAATGGAGGGAAGCCGTGACTAATTGGAAAAGTAGAGGATTGGAAAAGCAGGAACATGGGTCTAGTTTTCCTGCTGGTTTGCTCTCTGAACACTGGATGAGCCGTTCGAACAGATGTACGCCAGTGCGCTGTGCTGTCAAGCACAAGGCAAGAAAGGTCCCTAATGATTTTAGAGATTGTCAGGATATTTAAGAGATCTTTTACAGGAATGCTCTGCAGAAGCAGAGGGTGCATTGCTGGGCAGCTCTTCTGTGTAATTTGCAGATTAAACAACTAAAATTTCTGAGAACTTTTACAGTTGCAAAGATTGGATGGGAAAGCTGCACACAGCAGATACACAATTGATGCACGTGCTGATGGATCCCAACTGGTTAATCATCAGCAATTGTTTATGCCCAGGTATCCTACGCAGGGAAACAGTGCTAGGACAGGTATTTCTAGTCCTTTTCTGACCCTGAGGCGCATCTGGAATGTCTGTTGGTATTAATGTCATGCATGCTGGCAGGATGCGCTGGTGATGTAGGTGGGACCTCTTCGTCGCCTTCCTTCTTTGCTTTCTATCGTTCATTTTGCAGCAACAAAACATCAGCTGTTTGCTCTTCTGTGCTGAGCGTGAAGGAAAGTTAAGAGATGGCACTCGAGTTGCCAGCCGAGAACAACAGTCCAAATCCCAGTGAACAGGCAGTGTTATAGACGTGATGCCTCTAATATGAGGAGACTCTGGTAAATCTCTGACATTGTGGAAGCCCTCAGAGGCTCATTGAAATGAATGAGTTTAATAAAATTTCCATACTGTACAGCAATCTCGCGTATCTGTTTCTGCATGTGCATAATTAACAACAAAAAGAGCTGAGAATAAAACCCTCCTTACATGATGTGTAGCATGGAATATGTAACAGAAGTTGCTTGCCCTTCCTTATGTTAAAAGTTTCATTGCTTGATTTTCTGTTCTGATGTGCAATAGCAATTTTTTCTTAATAGACTGTGGTGTTATTGCTGATTAGTCATTTTCCTCAAATTTTTCTCTAAAAATACCGCCAGCCATTAAAAAAAAAAACCAATTGCATTTTTTATTTTTTCATTAAATCCAAAAATAATAATAAAAAAGATGTTTTCTTATTGTGTGCCTGTGACGTTCTTTTTGGGTAGGACTTCACATATGCACAGGTAAAGAGGAGACCTCTTAGAGCATAGTGAAAAGACATTTATGGCACTAAGCAGAAAAATGAGATGTGTAGCATTAATATATGTGAAGTAATCATTTCAGTCATAATGACATTTTTATGTAATAAACTGTTGGTGTAAATTGAATAACATTTTCTGTGTGATGTGAACAGTCTTTTGTGATTTTAATTTAGCTGGTATGCACACGGTTTATATATTCAAATCAAAATGTGCATGCCTTTTTAATCAAAGGAATGTTGTCTGAATGGCTTCGTAGTTTACAAGTTGCATGAACATACCTGTAGTGTTTAACAGATCCTGACTTACATTTGCAGGCATGCACACTTCTGTCTTTCACCTCTGGGTCTGAATTTTCAGCTCGGCTCATTTTGGGTATAATGGTCTTATATTAGTTGTTTCTGAGTTTAAACTCTTGGGGGAAATATACCAATCGTTCCATTAATGTGTGGAAGAAAATCAGGATTTAAACTTACAGCTTTCATAAAAATCAGAGTTAGTCTTGCTGCTTCCAGCGTTTCTTCTGACTACAGGCATTTGAGGAGAATGTGGAAGAGAGTCTTTCTGGTATTTCAGTTCTTTACTGATATTTGAGTAGTTGCTAGAATGATTTTGCTGTAGTAGCTGAGTGGGTAGTAGTTTTCTACCCCCAGTAACTCCCTGAGGTCTTCCAGAATAGTGCTCAAACTTCTTATTCAGCTTTTTGCAGTAAATGGTCATCCTTCCTTTAAGTTAAGTCAAAAGATACTAACCTTGGCAGCTGCCTGAATATTACGCATCCATTTTGGCGCTTGTATCAAGAAGATGTAAAATGCATGAATACAGCCAGCTGAGTTGCAATGTGTTCATTTTGCTTTTTTGGTTAGGCAGGAACAACTTTGTAGTGGATTGAAAAGAGCACTGGTTACTGTGTTACTCTTTGACTGTGAATTACAATTTTAGAGCAGGTGAGCAGTGGAATGTATACAAATCCCTCCCTGGCTGTGATGGACTTGAGGCCCCTGAGTTACTAGAACTAATAGTATTGATTGAAGAGCAACCATCTGTTCAGAACAGGTAAATAAAAAGGAACTGGGGAATATGTTTGGGAGAACCTTTATGCTGAAAGTTTATGTGGTCAGCAGTAACTTTGATCTGTCAAAAATTGGTCTCGAAAACTCTTCTGCTTGATTGTATTGATCTTTATGCAGAAAGAGCCACAGCAACAACCTGAAGAACACCAGCTGTGCTGCACTGGCATCTCAGCGGATCGATAGATGTGTCCCTTTTTAGTGTGAAACACGTTGCTCCCAAAGGCTCCTAATGTTGCAGGGACTGAACTGCAGCTCTTGGGTGGTTGAAGGGGCTGCCAGGTGTGCAGCCTCCTCATGTATAACCCCTCACCCCTTCCTGATCTACTCTGCCTTTGCTCCCCCTTGGCTGTTTACACCTAATCTTGCAGACCTGCCCTCAGAGCACACTGGGACACTTTGAGTGTCTCAAAGAGGAGAAGCAGGAGGAGGTGGTGGTGGTGGTGGTCAAGAGGCACTGGGACCTGAGGTACGCTGTTTTCTTCTTCTTTTTAATGTGAAATGTGACCTGAAAGGGTTAGATCCTCCCAGATTTATTCCGGAGTCCTATAATTTGCATACAACTTTCTCTGCTTTTGTGTCAACTGAACAGATGCTTGAAAAGCTGTTAGGAATTAAAACCCTGGGAATTTCCAGTTTACCCATAGTAGGAGTTTAAATGGAAGCTGGGAGCTTATTTCTTTTTTTTTTTTTTTTGTTGTTGTTTGTTTGTTTGTTTTTGTTCCCGAGCTTTGAAAACACTCATCTGGGCTGATGGTGGGTAAATGGATTTTGGTGCATAGGTTCAAACGGAGTCTTCCCACTAAGAAAAACAGGAACTGTTTATTGCTTGTCACCTTGCAGGGCTTCTGGGCTGTAGAGCAGCAATTTTGTTTTTTGAAAAGGGGAAAAGCAGTTATGTCTGTTCAAATAAACAAAATGACCCCTGAGACTTAATCATAGGTACTATTATAGCTGACATCCACTGAGGTTTTCTCTTTTCATTATTAGCGATCGCTTTAAAACCTAACCCTGAACTAGGAAAACAGGAACTGTAGGTGTGGAGGTGTTGCTTTACCCCAATTTGCATGCAGCCTGTTTTTTATTTAGTGGGTAGGTGTGTTCGGTGTATGTGAGAGCAATTGAACATGTCAGCAGTTTCCTACAAGCTGCTCTTGCTGACTCACGTGTCTGGTGCAGCTTGGAGCTACCCTTTCAATAAACTATCCACAATAGGAGGCGCAGGCAGAGAGACCATCAGTGTCTAGCTGTTGTTCAAAGGTTATTTTCAGTTCTTTGGTCACTGCTTTGCTGTG